CACCAGAATCTACATCGGTGAATGGGTAAAGTTAGCGCTTCCTGAACTTTAGTACACAGCCTGGCATCTAATAAAGCTCCACACAGTTCAAGCCTTGGTATTGTTGACGGCTTGATGGGCGCTATACGATTTTTAGAAACGAGAAGTTTTACGCCAATAGATTTACTGTTACTGCATCTTTTATAATATTGTTCCTATGCTCTTCCCAGTCACGACTTGTTGTCAAATCTAATTTTTGAGTCATGACATATATTAATAATGTGTCCCAATATTGAGTGGGCTGATTTAATTTTGTTAGTGCCCTTACATTTTTATTAATTGTATCTACGAGGTTTCTAATTGAGATAATTGACTCCTTGACTATAGGACCGACACCAAATAAAGCTTGCACATGATTATTCACAAGAACGCGATTGTTGTTATACCGCTCACACAACATGTCCCACACAATTTTATAATGATCGCCTTTAAAATCAATATTTTTAATAACTAAGGCTGCGTTTCCATGAAATGAAGTGCGCAAATAGTGTAACTTGTTTATTTCATTGATACTAGAGTTATCGTGAATTAATGACGTAAACGTATCTCGAAATTCGAGCCAGCATTGGTAGTTCCCATCTAAATGAGACAAATCAATTTTAGGCAAACGAACAAAACTATTTTTATTAGAACAGTGTGCACCTGAGTCAGCAACTTTGAAACCCGTCTCCGACCCAGCATCATTGGACGAAGCACGGAGGAGGCTGCACGTGATGGCCACCAGATTGAAGAACTGACGGTCAAAGTCCTCACGCTCAGCTAACGCAGACCCGGCATCATCGGCAAGTACTTCGATGTTTGTCGGTAATTCGTCAAATTCGGAATGTAAGGTTTCGAATTTATTAAAACGCTCCGCTAAGTCAAGACGTTGCAATTCATAAATATCAGAGCTACTTTTAATTAAATTTAAATAATTGCTGTAAATTGTAAGCTTTGATTTTATCGAACTACGCTTCTTCAATAAAGTTTTTAAATTATCTGCCATTTTACTTTTATATGAACACAGCAAGAAAAGAAAACGTTGATTACTTTAGAAAAAAAAAACTACAGCTGTGCGAGAACAAAAGGGATCGTGGCACGCAGGTAAAAATATGAATCAGCGCCAAGGTCAACAAATCGATACTTGAGCGCTTGATATTTGTAACGGAATAAACATTTAAATTTAAACAAGCGAGCGTTGCAATGACAAAGCAATTTTTAAAGCACTGAAGTTAATTAGGTACCTACTTATTAAAAGTAAGTGTACTTAACGAATGAAAGATGTAAAAAAGATTTTTTTCGACATGAAAAGAAAGCGGGAAATAACTAATTGGAACGAACTCACTCAAATACGGTTTTTATACTCCCAGGATGACATCAGCGTCTTCAATGATTACGCTGGCTGCTACGGGAACGACTTCCTTCTTCAATATACATGGCCGCGAATTCAAAATGCGCTCGGCAACCGTTGACCTCTTCGACGTTAATTACGGCAAAAAATGGGAAATGTTTTGCGCGCTCGAAGGACCATATGTTTAGGCCTTATCGGGACTTTAGAAATGAAATGAGTGGACTGTATTAACAATAGGTTTAATGCCGTAAAACCTCTAAACAAACGTATTATAAATTGAAAATTAAAGTGCCCGTCTGCTACCCCGTCTCGCCGCTGAGTGAGGTCCAGAAGTGCCCGCGCTGCCGCGAGACCAGCGACCGGTCCGCGGTCCCACGCGTCAATCAATTTGGCCGAGGCGCGATGACGTGCGCCAACAAAGGTCTTTGATACAAAAGCATTATTATGAATTTCTCTATGATGAATTAGCTTTACAATACTAGAGTTGTGGGTTGAAGTCCCATATATCAAAGACTTATGATGTAAGGTCAAAGATTCAAAACCATTATTATAGAAGACTTCTATGAAGTATAAGCATTACAATACTAGAGTTTTGGGTTGAAGTTCCATATATTAAAGACATATATTAGTAAGGTCTCTGATAAAAAATCATTATTAAAGAAGGTCTCTTTGATGCAAAAGCATTATGATAGTAGAGTTATGGACTGAAGTCCTATAGTAAAAGCATCATATTAATGGAAATGGCACTTGAAAAGGATTATTTTAGTTAATGAAGGGATTAACATATGCTAGCTACAGAAATTTATGTTTTACTTTTACATTAACAACTAAATGACGTAAAACGTCTAGGCTTAGTATTCAACTCACCTAGGTAGGTACCTTGTAACAGTTAAAGAGTACATAATGACTATGTTTGTAATTATAGGTAGGCTCGTGAATATTGTAAGAGGTGACAAAGGGAAATAAAACAAGATATGAAGAGCATCTCCCTAATTCAAATTAGAAAATAAATAAATCTGTGGGTGTCAACCCAAATATCACCCTTATGTAACAATCAATTAGGAAGTCTATGTTTACCAGTGGATTTAATAGGCTGTTATTATGATGATGATGAACGGATTTACATATTATTCGAACATTGCAACAAACAGGCAAAAAGAAAATAAGACCAAAAACATAATAAAAAATAAAAATGAACAGTAGATTTTTTTTTAAATATGTATGCAAATATTTATCCATAATATTTTACATGGTTCCATCTCACATCATTCAGTATACACGGTCTACATGCCTAACTAAAGCAACCGCACCATAAATCAGCATTCGCCTACTTACCCCATTTCAGTGCATCGATACGATAAAGGAAAGCTAATAAAAGTAGCCGAGCTTTTTGACGACATGATTACCGTATGAAAATATGTATGAAAGTCTATTTATTTAGCATGCTATGTAGTCTTAATAGGTAAAGTATCATTAGATTCAAATAATACTAGTTTTTACGGAATTTATCGCGTATATTTAACTTTTTTAAATACCCGACGTTTCGAACGCTTTACAGCACTCATGGTCACGGGCAGGACTGAGATGTTCAACGTCCATATGTCATAGTTAATCGCGGTTACCATAGATTAAAATTTAACTTTTGTTCCGATCTATGCAGTATGAACTTATGGTATCTTGAAGTCTGGCAGTTGTATGCTTGGGTTGGGATTTAATTTTATTTATTATAGGATCCCAAGCAGGTGGTAGCACCCAGCCATCTTCTCTATTGAAATTAAATGAATTTCAATAGATCTTTATTTTTTTTTTCATTATTCTCTCAAAAATGTATTTAGAGTATTCATTTCCAACGCCACGTTAATATTACCATTTTAGTATTTATTGACAACTAATTTGAAATAAACTTTCGGTACTAAAAATGACAACAAAACTTTTAAATTAAATAAATAAATAAATAAAAAACTGTCGAAATTGAAAAAAAAAATGCGTACCCTATTAGTAGTATTTATTGATAGATCAATTTCATACGTTAATGTAAAATAAAATAAAAATTCTGAAGTGTCAGTGCCATAGGTTTTATTCCGTTCACCTGTTAGATATTATTGATGTAGATATTATTGTACTGTTAGATATATTTTATTCCAGACGGTAAAATATATAAATAGATTGCTATCCTTCGGTCTCGCTAAACTGAAAAACGGCGGTAATTGAAAGGCGGTAGGTGGTGTTGTCGTCGAGATCCAGAAATCACCCGCGCGAAGCCGAAGAGGATAAGTTACGCTAGTATAATAAATAGCCTTAGTGTTATCATTAATAAATCAAATATAGTCCACTATCTAAAAAAAATATTTATTCCTCCTTACCAATATTCATTGCTATTAATTCAATAGCAGGCGTTATCGGTTGTTTCCGCCGCGACAGTTCCTCCAAAACTATTTTGGATGCTGGCGACTCTCCTCTGTATTAAGCTATAGCTAGTCTAACATCCTGGAAATATCATGACTACAATTTTTATACAACAACTGCAATACCTGGAGAAATGCAGGTGCGTTTTTGGACTTTAAAAAGAAGTAGCCTCTGGTGTCAACTAATGGGACTCCAATGTTCAGCATTTGACTTTTAACAGCATACAATGGCATCTTACGATGCCCACGGCACTACCGCACTATCACACGACAGATTATCAAAAACAGTTTTCACTGAATATTAACTACTCATCCTCTCTGTTCTGCCGCAAAAGGCAAACGAGTCTTTCAGTTACCGTCACCAAAAGCACCACTTCTAGTATGCCGCAGGCCAGGTTCACCAACACGACATATCTGCATATTAGAAACCAACCCAGTATACAGGACATTTGAATGCATATACAATACACTGCAACTGAAACTGGGAAAGAGAAAGATATTTAAAGATCACCTTCTTTTATGCTCCTTTATAAGTCAAAGTCAAAGTGAGAAAGTTTCAGAGATGGCCTGCATGGTCAAGCGTTTTTCAGATTTTTTTTTCTGGAACACTAAAAGTTTCTTTTTTTCTTATAATAATCTGGTTACTCGAATAAAATCGCACCTGGTTATAAGTGGTGCCTTGCATATAGTCAATCGAACTGTCTTAGCGTAACAAAAATGTATCTTGCTTTCTCCAGTATTTTTTTAAATCTTAGTGCTACGCACATCTAGCCCCACTATTGTTTAGAACTGGCCAGAAGTAAGAGGTAGTACTGACAAAAATGTATGTCTATGCGGCGTTTAGTTCATACAAATGTTTTTCTGTTTTTTTTTTTTTTTAACAATAACAAACAAAGGGCTAACTTAATGCTGGATAGAATTCTCTTTTAGTCAACACAGCGTGTTGAAATCAAGTAGTAGGTGGCTTTTTGCGGGTACAAGTACATGCGAGTGTGCATACGTGTCTGTACGCTTTTGTTTGTATGTTTTCAATAACAATTATCTTTTATAGGTTCATTTAGCACATATATGTCATAGATTACTGTGTATATACTAAAGACATGTTGTGATTGGAAAATTTGGAAGATAAAAGGGCTGGATGATGACAACTCTTTCGTTTGCGGTAAGAAAAATGTTATGTGATATTTTTACTATCGAATCTTTTTTACCGTCCCATAAAAATTTACCTGAGGCTTTACCGTTGAAGGGAGGATTTGTTTTAACACGTAACATTTTTACATCTGGCGTAGACAAGTGTTAATTGTGAATGTTTCGTTAATTTTACCCGGGTCTCATCAAAGTATTGATGATTGCAATTAAATTTTTAAACGTTCCGGATCAAACAATTGACAGGACCTACAAACAAAGAGTATCGAGTATTATTTCACAGATCAAAGATTACTGAAAATAGAAATGATTTATTTGAATGATCGACCCGAATGATCCGATTTGTAAGACGAATTACTGATAACTAAATATGAATTAATGACACGTCTAATCTGGCGTAACCGAGATCGTTATACCGTCATATTTATATTTATTATAGCATTATTTTAGTTCTCAGAGGTGACAAACCATCTGCAACTTGTTCTTAAAGTTAGTTGCAGGTGACCATTGCCAGCTGCCAGTTAATATCAGGTGGACTGTCAGCTCATTTGCCATTTTATAGAGGCAGTCGAGACATATCATACTATACGTAGTATAATACATGGTGGAGCCACGCTTCGGCTATATTATAGTTATAGCACGAGTGAATCGGCTCGAGTGGGGTAGGACCACGCTCTCACAGAACACCAGCGTAAAACAGCAGCCTAATACTGCTATGTTTCGTATGGGGAGTGTGGAGATCCGGAGATCTTTTTTACTGGAAACGAGGCATTCCATCTCAGCCCTCAGGGGTGACAACGCATCGGCATTTTAATTCACATTCTAGGAGAAATGTAGACGTGTATAAGCCACATCATCCACTTACCTGGACTGTGTGTTGCTTTGCACACTTATTCAATAACATACAGTAAGGGGAGACTCAGCCATTACTAGTTCGATAAAGTATTTTAGAATAGTTATATTTATACTTACGTCAAAATTAGAAGATAAATATTTTTCATATTATAGTGTTATTTGTACTTATCTTTATGAGTATTTTGTAGAGTAAACACCGTTTAATGACACTTCGCCGACTGAGTAGTTGGGTTGACTACTGGTTGCAAATCTTTACTTTTTCTCTATCTATTTATAGACAATCATAATGACAAACAAGCTCTCAGTCCACATGATGGTGAGTGATTTGTAGCCTATATACATCTACATCTATCCTTAATCAAGAATCAAAACGCTGATTGCGTTGTCCCTGAGGAAGGCAATGAAATGCCTTATTTCACAGTAAGAGTCAGTAAAGAATAGTTCTAACGTACAAATATGCTTTTAAAATGTATAGTTATAAGTCAAAATTTCAACATTTACGTGGGGCACTCAATTAGTTTTGAGATATACAAAAACTATTCTAGATACTATTAATATTTATTTTACATCTTTTCAAAATATTCTACATCATGCTCTATACAAAGTTCCATTCGCCTAAACCAACTCTGAAAACACTTTTGCCAGTCTTGATCTGACAGGTCGGAAATTGCTTCTTCGTAGGCAGCCATGGCTTCTTCGGCGCTTGCAAAACATTTGCCTTTTATTTTTCTTTGACTCTTGAGAACAGAAAAAAAATTACAAGGAGCTAAGTCAGGGCTGTAGGGTGGGTGACTTAGAGTTTCAATACCAGATTCCTCAATAAATGCTTTTGTTCTAAGGGAGGTACGTGCAGAGGCGTTTTAGTGATGCAGCATGATTCCCCGAAGCCTGGCCTTTGGTCTTCTCTCCCGCGCAGCTTGAAAAGCTTTGGGTAATGAGACTGTAGTATACCATTTAGAGCTAGCTGACCTACAATTTTCCAGCATTGACGTCAACAAATGTCGAAACAAAAACGCGAAAAATAAACTAGCCACCATTTTTTGCCGACGTTGCGAGGTCTTTGCAGTTTTGTCGGTAACTATCCTTCTGAGTAGACCTATACCAATGATTGCCTTTTATTTTCCGGATCATATTGATTGATTAATGTCTCGTCACCAGTAACGATTTCCGAAACACGCCTAGATGCCCCTTTTGTAAAACGTAGACGCATTTCATGCCAATCCAAAGGAGTCTGTTTTTCGCGTTCGGAGAGCAAACGAGGGATCCATTGACAACAAAGCTTCCTCACACCAAGATGTTGATGAAGGATGGTATGAATGCTTCCCGAACTAATGTCTATCATCTTTTTAATATCCGTGTATGTAATTGTGGGTATTCTTGCACCAACATTTCAGTAGTTCATAGATTTTCTGTTCTGTTTTTTCTTATTCTCAGACATACAGATTTCCTCGCTATGTTTTCCTTCAGCGCCGAGCACGTGGTAAATTAGCACTTAAAATTGCAATTAACAATTTCATTGGTGCCGGTGGGGATTGAATCCGGTTAGCTCGCGTACTGTGAAATTTACGGCGATTGCTAACCATCTGAGCTACCACGACTCATAAAGTATGTAATTAAAATTTTACAGATAAATTTAATTTCTAGAACACCTTACATTCTATTCTAGCACAGCATAAATTTAAATGTTCGTGTACTTCCTGGTCATATACTTAACATATTTTTGGATTTGATATATTATGCATTTTATAAATGTACAACTTATTTTGAATTTTGAATTAACATAAAGAATATTCAATAGTTTGCTTATCCACAGGTATCATGGGCAATGATCGATTTCTCTTCTACATCAACGATGATCTTAATAGGGAGGTTTTTAGGAGAATTAACTTGGGGCTTTGTCTTCGTCTACGTGCCTATGTTTATTTTTGAGATGGCTGAGGAATCTTTAAGAAAATCGCCTGGCGTACGATATAGCTCTATTACTCCAAGGATGTATGAAATGAGATTTGCACTAAGAGCGGACAGCTAAACCAATTTTATACATTAGCCAAGTTTATACATTAATCGTGGAAGTGAAGACTCATGGGACCCACGCGTATTTTTTTCAACGTGGTAAATCGCAGAAGGTCTTAGCGTAACTAGACTTTCAGATTGTAATGGATATTATTTCCATTTCTTTGCCGTACGCATTACGAAAGACGAGGCAAATCAATTGGTTCGAATGCATGGAATATTGATATCAGAGTCATGAAGATCCACCAATCTACTGGTTTACCGATGGTGGAAAGGAGAGGGAAGATTTGAATTGTATCTTAAACGATACCGAGAAAATGGCTGTTTCGCGCCTGTTGAGCGAAGCTGAGAGCCTTTCAAGACGAGTTGGGTTTCATATAATCAAGGTTACCTATAAGCCTAAAAAAGTTCTAAGAGCACTTCCTGTGTCTCTCGCTATCTCGCTACCTTATATTGTGTGGAGCTGTAATATAATCCGCCTACCGTGGGGCTGCCACACGTCAATTTTTCATTCCAATCGGTTTACCCGTTCTTCGAACTACATGGCCGGCCTATTGCACTTTACCGATTTGTTGCATTTTTTAGGTTACTTTGTTTTTTTTTTAAATATGGAATAAGGGTGACAGACTAGTACACAGTCCACCTGATGGTAAGTGGATGCTGTGGCCCATAGACATTTACCTTTATCCTCGATTAAGAATCAAAACCCAGATACGTTGTCATCCTTGAAAACTAGGATGGAATGCCTCGTTTCCAGTAAAAAGAGTCTCTGGATCTCTACACTCACTATACGAAACACAGTAGTATTAGGCTGCTATTTTACGCTGGTAATCTGTGAGAGCGTAGTTCTTCCCCGGTCGAGCCGACCCATTCGTGCTACAACCATAATATAGCTGCAGCGTGGCTCTACCACGTAGATACACGTTTTACTGCAGTTTTAAAAAAAATAATGACAGAAAATAAATATTCAAAAAATCAACTCACACGAAATAGACGTACGTATCTGATGTATTTTTCCCATCTTAATATCTTCGCTTTAAATTTCATAGTACGTAATATCCACTATATGACAAATTCATCACTGACCCTGAAATCGTTTAAATGCAATTAAAATGAAATATTTGATTTTACAATGTTTAATTGTATGCAATTAATACAATTAAACATCAAATATTGTAGTTGTAAGATAAGACAGCAGCTGTAAAGAACTTTATCTCTAGTGATGTGATCTCTGACTTTCAATAATATTATTTACAATCCATATTAAACTGGCCGTTCCCAGTGACTCGTTCGCGTATTACGATTGGATTTCATGGGTTTTTTGCGCGAAACCCTAATACTATAAGTTAGTCCTTATATTATCAGCTAACCGCCAATGAAAGTTCCGTCAAAATCAGTCCAGCCATTGCGATTACCGGAACAAACAGACATACAGACAAACAAAAATTTGCTGTAAATACCGTATATTTATTTGGTAAAAGCTGATAAAAAATTATATGTATTTAGTAAAAGCTGTTATCTTGTTATTTGAAACAGACACTTTAATTTTATTTAATTGCATAGATTTATAGATGACGGAGGGAGGATGATATTGTTTGCAGATGACTGCACAGTTATTTATAATAATGGAAACATTATAAATATTGATAAAACTAAAATAAAACAAAAAAAAACCTAATTATAATTTTAATACAAAAATTCAGTAGAATGACAAAGAAATCCAAATAACTACAACAACAAATTTTCTTCGCGTTCACATTGACGAAAACCTGAAACAGCAGTGCTATATTAAATTTGTGTGCAAAAGGTGTCACCTTTATCTTATGACATATTTAAGCTAACAAAAAAGTAAGTCTCCACACGTTACTTATGGCTTATCATGGTTGTGTTGCGTCCAGGCTTAGATATGCAATAATCTTTTGGGGAAACGTTACTTACTGGGATAAAGTGTTTAAATGTCAAAAACAGTGTATAAAGATGACGAAAGTTCAAATAATGTGCGATACATATTACATATACAAGCATGTTTAGGCACACACAAGTATGCACGAGCTATAGTACGCACGAAAATACGCACACATAAACACATTTATGGACGCTAGATATATTAAAATCTAAAGTCGAAATAAAAAGCTTAATAATTTATTACAAAAATATTAAATGTAGGGTTACAAGAAAAGGCTTTAAAATTTATTACAATCATCTTTATACAATATTCTAACAGTAGTTTGGATAAAACCTCTGCCCTAGGAAAAGTC